CGGGCGGGGCGGACAGGGAAGTGCGGGCACCGATCTCATCCCGCACTTGGCCCGCGGGGTGTGCAGTGGCCCGCGGGAGAGTTGGGGAGCCAGCAAGACTGCCTCTTGATGAAGTGCCTTCGAGACTAAGTAGCCAAGCCTCTTGCATGGGTTCCAAGGTGGACCGATCCTCACTGCGTGTGCTTGATAAATAGGCTCTTCGCCCAGCTTTATCTTTCACGGGTTAAAGTGCGCTGGACACATGCCGAGAGGGGGCGTAATTAATTCTTCATTCACGATTTCCCTCAGCACCTCTTTGTTAAGCGCCTCTCCTGTGCGGGTCAGACTCTGTGCTAGGTGCTTGGCATGCAGCAGTGGGCGAGTCTGGGCTTGTGCTGAATTTGTAGTCTGGCCGGGAAGCCAGCCACGAATGACCAGGGGCCGCCGCTGACCCAGGACAAGGGCAGGCCGCGTGGCCTCCAGGGGTCAGGCCCGGTGGACTTGGTGTTTCAGCCAAGCCCCTTCTGCCTTCCAGAAGCCCGTCTCTCTTGGTCCTGATCTGCAAACAGATTTTTTTATTGAACTGACCTGTTCTTTCCAGGTTCAGACCTGGTCCTTGAGGAGGGATGGCCGTCCGCACGCAGCCTCAGGTCTCTGGAATCGATAGGATCCCTGTGTTCCTGTGTTCAGGTTCTGGTGAATCTTCTCTCCGGTCCCTTCCTCACTTTGCCTTGACATTTACCTCTGCTGAGACACGGGGGCATCGCAGAGCCATGACTTTTTAGGGACTCGCCTGTTACTCCTCTGAAGACGTATAACCACCTGTACGTGCTTTTCGACAGGCTTAGCGGGCCTCTCCCGGGCACTCGGTTTCCTAGATCCGCCAAGAATAAGTCTTACCCGGTCTCTCCAATGGCTGATTGTGGTAGCGCTCGGGACTTAGTTGCCACACAGTCTTCTCTGCAGTTTGGACTCGATCCTCCAGCAAATGGGTATGAATGCGCCTTGCTGAACAGGAAGAACTAGGAAATGAGTCTTCACCCCTTCTCTCCCCTCCCTCTCCTCTCCTCTCTTCCCTCCCTCC